TGTTTTGTAACATTCGACATCCGTTTTCTGAGACGACGATATGTAAATTTGTGCAAATTAAAGTGAAATAAAAAAGAAAGCGAGTTTATAAAAGCGTGGTAAAAAAAATTTTAATTAGCACAACGGAGTTCTGGTTGAACGATTCGTCAGAGGATGAGGGCTTAAAAAACTGGTCAGGAGCTGAAAACGTGAGAGTTTAAGTGCAGTCTTTCGAATATATTTTGACATACAATATATTTAAGAAATTTTGTGATCCAAATCTATTTAAAATATATTAAAACTATAAATAGCTCCATGATTTTGTTTTCAGAGATCCTGCCAACGGAGTATAGGGATTTTCTTTCATATGTAAAACCAGACTTTCGAGCTTGTGTTTACTATTCACGACGTTAGAACTGCTTGAAATTAATACAAATTGTTTAAAATTAGGGTCTAGCCGCCAAAAAGTAAGAAAACAAATGCAAAATCGTACATTTTTAAAATTTTCTAACATTTCGCTACACCAACGAAAGCAAAATTCTGTTCGACAGAAAATTCGATACTCAACGAAAATTTCTACACGCTTGCATAGCTCATAATACGAATTTCACTTTCGATCTTCGTTCTTCGATAGCCAGCGAAGATCGAAAATCGAATGCAACTCATAATAGGGCCATTATTGCTTTAAAATCTGATATTTATTTAAAAATAAACTCAATATCATTCATCGAGTTTTTGGGTTTATATGTCAAAAAAACTAAAACTACTTATCAGGTAAACAAGCTTCTTGTATTTTAAAACTCCACAATTTGTTAAGTGTCAATTTTTTCCAACCGCCAGTTTTTCTTCTTTTACTCCTCTATAATAGTACAACTGTTATTGTGTATATCGATACCGAGCCCCCAGTATCTCCTGTCTTGTTCTATGAGGATAACAGGATGGATCGTCAAATAGGTAATATGTTATATGTATGCATATAAATATGTTTTTAAGGCGTGTCAAACACCTGCACTGATTTGCATTAGAGAATGCTTTCCCTCTCTGTGATCTCTCTTCCTACTGCGTAAAACCATCATCATTGACTTAGTTTGCACTCGCTTTGGGAAACTCCTGCCCTCCAACATGGAGTGCGAACTTTTTGGCTGGTGGTGCTATATCCGTTTGATCAGCATCTAAGTCAATCTGAAATGCAAATAATTCATGTACATTACTATTGTGTCATTCAAACATTTGAATAATTCTCACCTCCATTATAACGTTGTCCTTTTGTAAATTGGTATTGCTATTATTACACTTGGCTTCGTCGTTTATGGATTTTGATGCAGTTGTTTCACTTGAGGTTGTATTATCCGATTCATCGCCAACAACAGACGAAACGCCACCGACCACACCACCAGTTGACGCAGGGATTTCCCTCTTTTTCAAGTCATCCTTCTTTTTGTTTTCGTTGGTCGTTTCAATTACAGCTGCAGAAGCATTGGCAGCTACAGCTGCTTCCTCTTTTTCTGCTTCATACTTTTTTAGTTCCTGATCTAGATTGTAACGTCGACGGTTGCTAACAAAGAAAGTGCGTACGTGAGCCTCTGTCTTCGTGCCAATCGTTTCGGCTATTGTCTGTAAGTAATTTTTTAGGTAAATTAAAGTATTAACTTATGATTGATTGAATGTTGTAATTACTTGGAAGTCCTTGCCATATTTTCGTACTCCCTGCACAACCAGCAAAGCTTCATCGTTGGACCAACGTGAGTTTATGCGATTGGAGTTCTCAGTTGGACGCATATCATCTAATCCTTCGGAATTCTTACGCTTTAGGGCGGATATATTTTGCTTATTTAGCTGAACCTGTAAATCAAGCGATAGGAAAATGTATCCAATTGCAATACAAGTTTGCAATGCACTGTATCCAAATGATTGAAAGTGAATGATGAAAATAATGTCGTGAGCAAGTGTATAAATTTAGTTTGATGCATGAAAGCATCTGCGATTTATTGGGGGAAACATACTACTAAAAACTTTATTTATGTTTAATATAACATTGATTTTGGATTTTATAACAGAAATTTTCTCTAAAGTTTGGTATCGCCAAGAGAAAAAAACTATAAATCCGTGGGGCGAACACTCCCAATATTACTTATTTCACGTGTGCAGTTTCTTGTACAATAACTGCAGTTAAGGCATGCCTTAATTGGATTAGCCGAAGTACAAACAAAGCAGAGATCGTCAAATAGCCAACTGAAGTGATATAAAAATATAATAGTGAAAATCTAAGCACGTCAAGTATAGACTTTTAAGTATCGTCATCTTTCAAGCCAATTTCTGTAGTTTATTGCCAGAAAGACTGATTCATGAATCACCATTGACTCTCTTTTGACTTCCACGTATTACACCGAAATACGAGATAAATTAATTTAACACGACAACACTAAAGCCTTTGTCCCTGTGGACCGACCCCATTGAGGCTGCACGCTTCCTGGGGCTTCCGTTAGTGGAGCTTGACGACAACGACTGAGATTTTAACCGATCTGGGCGGGGTTTTTGTAGCCGCTACAACAACAACAACATAAATTAATTTAAAGCGTTCAGCAATACAAATTAAATCTGTGACGGTATTGCTTTGGTCCAAGATTTTGGTACACAATTTTCTTATAATAGAATCCGAAGTCATTTACTGCAATCAATACTATTCCTTATGATGTTAAACAGCCACTGCTTAACACTGGAGCATTGGATTTGTGGGCCAACTGTTATATTAACTAAAGGAGATCACTTTACGTTTACGCACTTATCTAGGCAAGGCAGTAAAGTAAATGTTATTAAAGTGCGCTGAACTAGCAGCATTGGCTTTGAAACTGCTTCTTGGGACCTAGGTTAGGTTAGGGTAATTCGGCTGGCTACTCTACGTATAGACAACAACCGTTCGATTCCTAGCAGAACCAGATGAACCACGACAAGATGGGTCTACGTAACCGGAACGACCCAGATTTATATCTGGCCAAGGACTGTCACTCCAGCAACACTCCTCAAAAAGTCTTTGGGGAATTTGTATGCTGCTACAACAACAACAACAACAACAAGATCGAATCATAAGTATAGTAGTCATCATTTAGAATGCTAACGCTTTGTGTAAATCCTCCTATTTTGTAAGCCGTACATAAGCAGAGCAGATGCTCCAGCGTTTCTTTCACTTTTGGCTCTACACTTTTCTTAAATGATCCGGTGCGTTTCAGACGAATAAATACTACATATTATGTTAAGGAGTCACAGAAGACTCCCGGAAGGAGTCACAAAAAATTTGTTTAGGGTATGTATGTATGGAAAAAATTTTCGAACGTACTTTGTATGGAAGAAAATGCGTGACACTGCCAGAAACAAATTTCAAAAATCAAGGGCATTTTTCACCAACTTCAAACTTGCACATTATTGTACTAAAATTTAATGGGCTACAAAACAGAATGCCGATTTTTTTTAAGAATTCTGAATACAAGTTTGAAACTTTGGTGGAACTTTGCAGAATTGGAATGTCATTGACCAAGATTATACCAAAAAATGCCTCTGAGCTGTAGAATTTTGAAGAAAAAAGCATAGTTTACGTGAATGTTAAAGGGGAAATTTTCGCATTTTATGGGCTCAAATTTTCAGGGGTAATTTTTAGGCATTTCCCACAAAATATCGAGGTGGGAGTGAAAAAAAATAGTCGCGAAAAAACACCTATATAATTTAAATGGTAATGAATGTTTCTTCTTCATAGAAATGGTCCTTCTTTGATTTATTTTGGGCCCGAATTATTATGTTCAAGCGGCTTTATATGGCCTTGGTGCGATTCATGAAACATCGCAGTGGCATTTTTGGTGAAATGACAACTTTGCGAATAAAATTGTATGAACGAACTATCGGAACTCGGATTGCAATATATTTTTTTTTTCAAAATGCTGCACATATGTAAGTGAAAAATAAATTTTTTGTCATTTGTTTTTTTTTTTAAAGTATTTGCGAATTGTTAGCTGCTTGAAAGCTTTTATTTTCTTTGATTTAATTTAAATTTTATTTTGTTTCATTTGAATTAAATTTTTATTTATCTTATTATTTATTAATTTTAATTTAACACTTTTTTAACTTTATTTTGTGCAATTAATTTTTCTAATTTAGTTTTATTTAAAAAAGCCCAAAACAGATATACATAAAAACGCAATCAACACATTAAAAAAAATAATAATAATATATGCGGCTTGCTTAACACGCAATTCTGCCATATGGCTGGATACAATTTATCTCTGATCAATTGCACCGTTAACCCGGATTAACATTGTCGTCTGTCTATTTTATTATGATATTTAACTACCCACCAAAAAATGATATAAGTTGTAAGAAATAAGGAATTCGTTAGCGGCGCTGCTTGCAGCATTTATTTTACATGATCTATAAGCCTTATATAAGGTAAATATACTCCAAGTGATGCCTTATTATAAGGGATTATTAAAGTTCTCATTTTCGTTGTTGGTGTTTCCGATGTTATGTGGAACGATTTGCCGTCATCCCTTGTCAAATTTGGTTTGGAGACAAACCGGTTTCGGCGTTGTGCCATCTTCAGTGTCATTTTTCGTTCGTTCGGATTATTAAAGCCTTTTTTTATATGACCTATAATGCTTATGCATAAGGGTCTCTCAGAGAGAGAGAGCAAACATTATGAAATGATGACATCAACACAGCGAAATGAATGTGGTGTTGGTTCAAACTGAACATTTGAAAGCACATGTACATGTATGGCTGTAGCTGAATATGCAAAGATGCTTGATACAAGCGATTGCTGCCATGACTGTCCTCCGGGTTCAATTCTCATCAGACGGACCACAAAACTTAATTTTATTTTTTTTATTCTCTCTGAGAAAAAGTTAAACCTTATTCCCAATGACATCAATACGGAGAAATCAGGTGTAAAATAAGGGTTGTGCCATACAACTTGTATTCCTTACAAGTTTCATGCATTAAATGTTAAGACTTACGATCATATTAAGTAAGACACAAATTTTTTGGTGGGTATGTATTGTATCTGCACACATGCATATGTATGCGTGTATATGTATCTTCAATTCTACGCAACAGATGAAGGTTATACACTTAAATCAATGTAATGCTGGGTTTCCACTAGGCATTAAATGGCAAAAATTGTAATGACAAAAGTTGGGACATTAAAATATACTCGTATCAATTCGTTCAAAAAATAGTTATTAACTTCATTTCCACATGATATTTTTTAATGGCATCAATTTTTTGTAATTTTAGTGCCTAGTGGAAAATCGGCATAAGTAATGATTTTTGAAACTAAGAAGCTTGAAATGAAATGAAGTTTGCAAAATCCAAATCCTTACTTGGCTCAATAATGAAACGATTTCCCTGTCTGTATTGGCAAGTAATTCGTCTTGATTGTCGTTAGCTCTGGCCAGTGCCACAATATCATCGTGATTAATATACATGCCTCGCGGTGGTTTACGCTTGTGCCTTTCAGCATTGCGATCGCGTGATCGCTTACCAAAGTATGGACCAGAAGTAGGTCTCTTATTACCGGTACGCCTGAATCACGCCATTTTATGATATTTTTCATGAAGCGAAGATATATAACAATAAATAATAACAACAATTTATTACGTTTTCAATTTAACGTGTGTGAGAATTCAAAAATTATACCTCCAATGGTGGTGGCAACTTGAACATAGTTTACCGTGCGGCGATGCGTTAAGCACAGTGCAAGGAACTCCACAATTGGTGCAACAACCGCTCAAGCCCGTTGAGTCCGCATTTGAACACGACGAATCGGTATTCGCCATGTTGGGCGGCGTCTGTTGGCGCTGATGTTTAAAACCGCTTGACACGGCACCAACATTGGCAACTAGACCACTGTCGCGTCCTGTGGCGATTACATTCAACGAACCAGAAGCAGTTGTGTTCTCACTGTCAGCTTCGCCGCCGAGACCGCTGCTGCCACCTGCAGCAACACCGACTTCGCTCGACTTATTTGATTTGTTTTGTAAATCGGCAGATGCGCCTACACCGCCAATACCGCTGCCGCCTACTTTCGTTTGATCTTGCAACCCAGAAGTTGAGGCCAATGCTTGATCCTAAAGGCGGTTTTGATTGAATTGATGGATTGTTGTTGGTGAAATTTGCGTGTCACGAGTGTGTGTGTGGCGATAGAGGGCGATAGAGGGGGAAAGAGAGAGAAATAGAGAACGTTTAGGCGGATTAACTTTGGCATAGTTTATTATTTAACTAGTAATGTGTAACACATTATAAATTCTACAACAAATTGCTAGCGTCTTGAAGAAGTTATCAAACAAAATTATTGCATGTGTACGAATACAAGAAGCCAATGCAGCAGACTTGGCTAACTTATGACGCGACACGCGCAACAACAACCAGTCAACGGACCAACAACATTTTGATATACATTCATAAATATATATGTATATACATATATACTTCAAAACCAAACACAGCACCAAAACTTTTCATTTACTCCGAGGTTTTTAATGATATTGAGGCGAGTAAAAATATTTAGACTTTGCAGGATTTGAGTCGTAAGAGCCCCCGAAAAAATGTTTTCACAATAATGATATGCAAATAATGAGAATGATGGTTATACATATATAAAAATGTGAATTAAAATTAAACGTAAAGTACAAAAACTAAAACCAGGGAACAGATAATTAATGAGGTTTAAACTATATTAAGTTCGATAGTCCAATTTTGGGACAGGAACAACTAAGTATAAAAACTGTCTCGAATGCACACAAAAGGGATGACTTACAGTACTTCGTGAAATTAAAAGTATGAAGCTGGGGTTATACTAAACTGCCAAAAAAAGGAATTACATTTATGAATGTTTGCTTCAAAGAAATTGCATAAAGGTTCTTAGTTAATAAAACGGCACATTAAAAATTTTGTGTTTAAGCTTAGCATATTTTTACATTCAAGACATGAAACTAAAGTAATGAAGTTTCTGTTCAAAGCCATTCAAGTAAACAAAAAGTTTTGCACTCATGAAAACAATGTGGACATTAGGAGCAAAAAGCTTCGAAAATGAAAAACACATGAATTTTGTTTAATCTTCTCGCAGACAATAAATGGTTTATTGATAATAATTTACATACTATATTTTACTGTTAGTAGAAGGTCTATAAACAGTCTTTCATTATGAATACGATCTTAGTCTTAATAGCTATAATTAACTAACAATAAATACATACAATTAAGTATAATGCATACTACGACCTATATCTAGGATAAAATTATGAGTGTTTGATGACAATGATGCTTCAGCCACAAGATACAGCCTTACGTAAAATACTTTCGGTTCATCGCATGAAATCTCTCTATACATTTTTTTACATGACATTAATTTTTTTAATCTTCGTCTTTATCTTGTGGCTAATATCGCATGGATTAACAACATAAACAAACACTTTCTATGTTAAGAATGATGCTGTGTGGACTTGAAAATTTGGAAAACTGTTAACACCGTGTAGCTGCTTCGAGCGCCCTGATTCAGTGTAAATATGTGATATTATGTTACGATTGCCTCTTCTTTTTGTAGTGATCATGATAAATTATGCTTTATCATAGTCATACAAATACAATTTATAAATAGTATTAAAAATAAATGTTAGAGTAAAATTCTTATTAAAAGCAAAAAATAAACTATTGCTAAATAAATATAACTAACATTTGTGTAGATTATGGATGAGTGTGTTCAATTATAATTATATATAAAAATTTGAATTTATTGTTAAGCCACTGTAAAACTAGAGAAACCAATTTCGATTTGAATTTGACTCGTGCCTAATACAAGATTACTTTTAACTAATAATTACCTTGTCATCTGTATCAGATTCTTCATTGCTACCATTTTCACTGCCATTTTCTGAACCTTCTTTACTTGCTTTTGCCTTTTCTTGTCGGTCCATTACGCTTTGTCTGTGCCGTGTCTTTTTCCATGAGTAGTAGTATTTCACCAAACTAGCTATCGATTTATCAGGCAACTGTAAACAAATGTTTAGTTAAAACTTATATATAGGGCATTGCAAATGAGAGAATGGCAATCGCAGAATCCTAATTGCTACGATGTGCGTATTCAAAGTATACGCTACGTTCATAGCTATTCGAATTCAATAATGGCATTTCGTAGATTTCACGATAAATCGGACTACGATGAATTCTGTGATAGCCCTGAATAGTCGTGTTTTTGTACTTTCCAGTAAAGACCTATACAGTAACTTCCCACTATCCAAATTTATTATAATATTTGCTCAACGCAAAAGAAGCAATAAGTTGCAAGTTTTACGAACAGTTGATAAATTTATTATTTTCCCAAGCAATTTTCTAAGAAAAATAGAATATCATGTCTTATAATACATGTTTATTTTGTCAATCGCAACTATAAAAGCTTCACAAACAATTATTTTATTACATGTCTATTCTACACGTTACCGAAGATTTTGTAACNTATGTCTTATAATACATTTTGTCAATCGCAACTATAAAAGCTTCACAACCAATTATTTTATTACATGTCTATTCTACACGTTACCGAAGATTTTGTAACCGGAAAATTGTATTACCAAAAAATGTTACCAGTTCTTGTCACCGCGATTCTAGGTACGTTGGTAATGCAGTTAAAATATTCAGCAATTCAGCTATGAACAATTGTGCAAATCCTGGCATTGCATATTTCACGGGGCAATAATTTGTTACCAGCTTATGAGATGGTAACAAAATTTACCGGTTGCAAGAGTGCACAGAATGCGAAAAGGGTTTAAAAATTGACAGGAACTTTATTTACCGGTTACAAACTTTTTATTACCAGCGCAGAATAGACCTGTTAGTGTGAATTGCACTAAGCATTATGCGATCAGCTGTTTTTCTTTACTGGCAAAGAATTATCTACTATCCAGTAAAAATGCAGTAAAACTTAAAAGTTCAGCTGTCTTTTTTGCTCTTTCAATTTCTTCTCTTTTGCTGTTTCCTTGAATGTTTTTGCATACTAGTTTTTACTGGATAGTGCGTACAAAAAAGGGCTAATATAATATTTACCATTTGCCGAATGCGGTGAAAGCTCTTTCCATGGAATTGAAATGCTTGTTCAAATAACACTTTGTCTTCCACTGTCCATTCATCGGGGAAGGGAGTGAAATTAGCCAGATCCATTACGGCGCGTTCTAGATCATGTTTATGCCAGAACAACATGCCTAGGGCCTGTTCACCATTATAACCGTATTTCTCTTTAGCAACTGATATATATTCTTCCACTGGAAATTAAACAAAAGCGATATAATATAATCAAATACATTTGTAGTAACTATCTAGTTTAAATAGCATGTTATGCAAAAAAAAATTTAATTGGTTTGTATACATACACACACATACAATACATCCACAAAATAATAGGAGTGCGATATTTTGACCAGTTTTGGCTATTTGTNAAATACATCCACAAAATAATAGGAGTGGGATATTTTGACCAGTTTTGGCTATTTGTCTTTTGTTTATTTAATGTTTATTATTTTCTTATAAACGTCTAGCTGGTTATACAACAAAGACCATATAAATTCAGATTTCAAACTTTGTACAAGAATTATAAAAATTTCGCAAATTTTTACCCAAATTTCAAACTTCTTAATCAGAATCTTTAGAAAAAAGTTTGGTATGAAGTTTTGTAGCCCATTTAATTCTAGAATAATGAAGTGCATGTTTCAAGCTGCTAAAAAATTCCGTTGATTTTTGGCAATCTTCTTTTGTTAGCAGTGTCCTCCATAAAACAAGAAAACGGACGACAACGTTGACGGATGAACCGACCGACCCGAGCGGGGTTTAGTAGCCGCTACAACAACAACAAGCAACTTGAAACTTGCACTTTATTATACTAGAATTAAATTGGCTACAAAACTGTATACCAAATTTTTTTCTAAAGAATCTGATTATAAGGCGAACTTAGCACAGTGCGTAGGCAACCCCCTGAGTCAGCTGGGGTCGTCGGTTCGAATCCCGCTGAAGAAGTCTGATGAGGAGATGTGGTGATCTCCGAAGTAGCTATCACTTCTACCATTTATAAATTATTGTCCATTTTTTCATTAAAAAAAAACGGCCTCAAGCTCAATAAAATTGTTGAAGATGATTCTGATTAAAAAGTTTGAAATTTGGGTGAAAATTTGTGAAATTTTTATAATTTTTGTACAAAGTTTGAAAACTGAATTTGTAGGTTTGCTCCGCAAGCTACTTGTAGAAAAACTCCAGTAAAGTTCAAACCATGATACAAAAAAAGAAGGTAGTTTAACTTTGAAATTTTTTGACATAAAATGTGCTTATGACGTTTATACTTTTCGTAAATTGCTCGAGTATCACTGCCATCTCAACAAATTATTGTTTTGGAAATTTTATTATTTTTTAAAGGAATTTTTTATGCATTAAAAAATAACAACACGCAAGGTAAATTTACTTAATTCATCGTATTAGCATAGCTGTTAATAAGTGAGTATTAATTTAAAATACCTTAAATTACCTTACCGCAAAAAAATTGGTATTATATGCAGTGTTCCATGAGATATTATTATAGATATTAGGATGTTGCTTTAATTTGGATCCTTTTTAGAGGACATATGAACAACGGAATAGTTAAAAAGTAGCTTATCGTCAATTAAAGCACTATGGAAGCATAAACTTAGAGGGAGGTAAGAAAATTTACATATAAACTACTCGCTCTACTGCTGCTGGTGCAGCGTTTCGCTTTGATTGGGCACATCACCTTGGTGAATTTACCATGCACGTGGCCATCCCGAAATATGCAGCTAATCGTACTAATGACGAAAATAATTGTATAAACAAATAGATTATCCATGTGCATTACGCAATGTAATAGGAGTATTTTACTAGCCTTCCGTTTTATAATTAATTTTAGAAATAAAATGATGCTCAAAATATATTCTTGAAATAATTTTGGAATTTTGTTTAAGTAAAAAACCACTTTTTAGTTTCTTCAAAGAATATGGTAGCTTCAATTGAAAAGAAAACGTCAAAAGCACAGTTTACGTCAAATGGGAGCAATGGCGGATAAGAAGAAGTGAAACTACCTTTAAATATTTGTATCATGGTTCAAACCATGATAAAAACATTACAAGGTAAATTCATTCTCTCAATTCGTCGGCCATGATTTTTTTCTGACGTTTGCCAACATTTTAAAATCATATAAAATTGAAAATAAAAAAATTAAATTGCTCACAATTGTTGTTGTTTGAGATTGAACATGAGAATGTGTGTGTGAGTTTTTAAAATGATAAAAACAAAGCAACAAGGCGAATATATATAAGGTGGTATCGATTCAACAAATACAACAATTACTTGTATTTTGTTTTTGCTTTTAGCGGGCCATTGTCAAGTTTCAGCTATTCTTCCCCGAAGGAAAAAGGGCGACAGAAAATACAAACGCTCTCACGTTTTCACTCACTCACCAGCGAAATACAAAATTTCGACAATCAAACGCTACTCACAGCTGCTGAAACAACTCCACCTTATATAAATTCGCCTTGCATAGCAAGTAGAAACGTTCTCTCAATTTGGCGGCCATGATTTTTTTTTTTTAAGTTTGCCATCATTTTAAAATCATACAAAATTGAAAATAAAAAATTGAAATTGTTGTTGCTTGAGATTGAAAATGAAAATGTGTGTGTGAGTTTGTGACTAAATTTTAAAATTATATTGTTGGCAAACGTCAGACTGCCTCTCAATGGTTTTACCTTGTTATGTTTTTATCATGGTTCAAACTGAGCGTATATCAAAGAAAATCTAAAGCTTACTTGTGGAACGCGTATGTGTAACCCGTAGTGACTTCGAGTAGCTTGTGGGGTTTGTTGTACAGCCAGCTAGACTTTTATAGAAAGTAATAAACATGAAAGAAACAAAAGACTAATACCCAAAACGGGTCAAAATATCGCACTCCTATTATTTTGTGGACAACTGTACATTGTTCAGTTTACTTTACTTAACATTTATACGTTAATCGGCATTGCAGATCGAAAGTTATTTACTGAAAGACTTATTACTTTATTACTAATACCTTGTTTATACCTACGCAAGAACCGTATTAACAAAAAACCAATTAGTCTCAACACATATTTCTTCCAAGCGTTTATACCTGTCNATAAAAACATTACAAGGTAAATTCATTCTCTCAATTCGTCGGCCATGATTTTTTTCTGACGTTTGCCAACATTTTAAAATCATATAAAATTGAAAATAAAAAAATTAAATTGCTCACAATTGTTGTTGTTTGAGATTGAACATGAGAATGTGTGTGTGAGTTTTTAAAATGATAAAAACAAAGCAATCCAGACGTGATGGAGCAAAACGGACTTCAGATTCGTGTTCAGCGACCCCAAAAACATGTAATAGACTAGGTTTGGTCAAAGGAACATTTCATCGATTTTTTTTTTGTGAACCTGTGTAATTGATTTTCGCGATTGACCGAAAAGGAAGCGAATCATAATTCAACTTTATTTTAATAATAATTCAAATTTAAAACGGGCTGTCTAAAGAAAACCAGCCTATTTTAACTTCGCGTCAAATGAGTGATGTGTTTATGCCTGTTTTCTAACCGATGTGAGAAATTAAAAACCGATTTGAAATCAAATTCGAATCAATACACTTTTGAAATTCAGAGCGTATTGAAAATTTGTTTATGCATCCGTTTTGGATCACAGCGAACTGGATCAAAGCGCTTTATGTGTCGGTATAAACAAGGAATAAGTTGCCTCTGCGAGGAGTTGTTAAGTTGCATGCATCAACTCTTACGCAGAATATGGACACATGAACGCATGCCCGACGACTGGAATTTAAGTTTGCTCTGCCCAATCCACAAGAAATGCGACCCCGCCATTCGCGCCAACTACCACGGGATCAGCCTTCTAAGCATAGGTTACAAGGTCTTATCGAGCGTATTGTGTGAAAGACTGAAGCCCACCGTCAATGATCTGATTGGGCCTTATCAGTGTGGCTTTAGGCCTGGCAAATCCACCTTGGACCAAGTATTCACAATACGCCAAATCTTGGAAAAGACCCGCGAAAAAGGATCGACACTCTCCACCTATTTGTCGACTTTAAAGTCGCTTTCGACAGCACTAAAAGAAGTTGCCTATACGCCGCTATGTCTGAATTTGGCATCCCCG